CTCGACCCCGCCTCGACCCCGCCTCGACCCCGCCTCACGTCTGTCTCACTCTGCCCCTTTCCGCCACATTTTCAGTTAGGGTTACAAACAAGAAATAGAAAATTCAAATTGAGCAACATGGGAAATGGCAAAAGGAATCGAGAATAAGATACGAGAGATAAAAATCCGGAAGTGCAACAAATGAAACTGCAGAAGGGAAGAAACAGATGCATTAAATGAACGTAAAACAGAAATGAAGTAATGACAGAGTGTAGATATCTGCATATTCACATACGGTATTAACATAGAGAAATGATAACGGCGAGAGATAAATACAAAGAATCAGATGACAAGAGCAGAGGGAAGTCAAAACTAAAAAAGTAAGTGACAGGACATGCGCCAAAGAAGGTTGGAGCTAAGTAGGGTTGACGGAAAATAAACGATAAAGGAGCGGGGAAACACTACTGAAAAGGGCAAAGAAGAAAAAGAAATCGCACGGTCCAGAATTGCGGTCGTCGACTCCAGAGATGCGCCTGGTCGGCGGCGGGGCGGGAAGAGGAGTGGAGGAGCGACTGGGCGGGGAGGTGGCGGGGTGAGACGAGAGAGCTCCCGCGGAGGCGGAGGCGTCATTGGCTGCGCAGCCGAGAACGGGGTTGACGGAGCGCGGTAACGACGGCAGGGGCGAGGGCGGTGGCGGTGGCGGTGGCGGGAGCGGGGGCGGCGCGCCGACACATACATGTGTGATCATGCAAATGGCTGCCGGCTGATGTGCAATTGAGCCCCTCGAGTGTGCATACAGCGCCGAGACGTGATTAGCCTAATAGAGGCTCGGGGAAGACGGCGGCGACAGCGCGACGGGGCGCAGAGCGGTGGCGCCTGGCGGCACGGGGCAGGGAGAGGGAGGGCGTGGCGGGGGGGGACGAGCGTAGACGCCCGCACAATGCAGGCCACTCGAAACTCGCGTTCGCGGGGCGTGGTGGGGGAGGCAGTGTGCGTGAGCGAAGCGGACGAAGACGAGAGGATGGAAGAAGTGGAAAGAACGTACACAGAGATAAGGATGGCGGGAGAGAAGTGGTTGAAAGGTATAACAGTAACGTACGAGATATGAAATAGTGGGATAATAATAAGGCCAAGTTGGCAAGGAGGCAGTTGCCAAGAAGTAATTATCCGAGAAGTAAGAGCACAGGTAGACTATCATACACTCGCTTTCTGTAACCATCTCTGCGCCCTCAGGATTTTCCTCCTAGCCGTCTATATGGCCACATTTCCGAGTCTTTGATGCTATTGTGAGAACATCTGGGGTAAATACCAAAACTCGAAAGATTAGACTGCTTTAGGATGTTAGTATTGTAATAGCTTAGAAACCTTTGGACCAGCTAAATTGTATCAGATTATGTAAATTAAGTGTGTAATAATTATCTATTAAATTCAGAAATTTAGATATGAAATAGTAGTGTGTAAAGTTAGCAAAAAGTATGCTCCCAGGAGAAAAGTAGAAGCGGAAAAGAATCGTGTAGAAAGAAGATGAGGATTAGATGCGATGGAACGAAGCGGGTCGAAGGGAAGTAGAATAAACGGTTCGTCTGGGAACGGATGGAAGATGGCTGGGCGAGCTGGTTGAATTGGGGGTAAAGGTAGAAGACGTAAGCCAATATGATGAGGGAATACGAAAGAGGGCGCGAGTGTGTCAAGCGAGCAGGAAACAGGAAGGTCACCCTATGACCGAGTGAAGTCACCACCTTCCATGTTAAGCGATATAAGGCCGCTTCAATCGGATAAAGGGAGTTCTGGTATTGCCGTGGGTCTTTCTTGGGGAGGTCAAAACATATCCGAATGCCATTGATTAGTGGAGCTCATGTGTGCATCACACGGCAAGACAGCATCAGGTCTGACGTTGGGAGATGCCACTTCTTTCAGGTAGGGTGGAAGATTACCTTTAGGAACAGTATTATATTGAGATATAAATAAGTTTCCAAGGTTTCTTATAATATTTTGCATCAAAGGAACGTTACAGTATTAATTATTTGAAAATTAAGTCACAGGGAACAAAT